ACTCGCCAAAGAGACAAGTGAAGTCAATCCCTTGACAAACGTTCTGCCGAAAACGGTTACACTATCACTCATCTTTCTGTCCTGGACTATCTTTTTACTCCAAGTCCGGATAGTATTCTTGGCCTAGTGTTAATGAAAACCTTTTACAAGAATGACACCCAGCTCTGATGATGTCCATCATATGATGGACGAAATCTCAGCCCATTTTCACCTGAAACGAATGAGGAAGACTCGTAGACTGCTTCAACCTGACATCGTACAAAATTCCAACGGCTGCAGTACAAAGCGTTTCCTCTGTCCTCATCTGTTGAGATTAACCAACGAATCTCTTCTTTATGCACTTTCATACAAAGTGAAAATCCACCCAACAATATGCCACAGTAGTTATGATAATTCCCAGAACAACATAGCCGAATTGAGATTTCTGTTATTCTTTTTCAAGCCATGTTATTCCTGATTCAGACTATATGCTCTATTTTAAATGCAATACTTGAAGAGAACAAGTCTCTGTGTAGAGAGGCGAGTTGGATAGCCCATTTCACAGCACCATTCTCTAACAAAACAGGAGTCCCTTTTACCCGCAATGATAATCCGTAGACAAGGGCAATCAGATGTTAGCAATGAGGTAACTATTGGTACTAAGTAGTAGGATTGATTAATGGGAAGTTGGCAAAAAAGGAGCACATTTCAAAACTCAACCATATTTTGTAGATACGAAGATAAACTTGGTTTCGATGAATCTCCTGGGATAACATTGTTAACATTGTTCTTCATTTCGAACGAAAGTGCATGAGGAAGAGATTCTTTGGTCGATCTCACCAGATGAGGACGGATGAAACCCGTCCGTTGTACTGCAGCCGTTCGGCTTTTATATGATATTCATGTTGACGCAGTCCACGAGTCTTTTTCCCTCGTTTCGGGAGGAAAAGCCGAACGGATGTAGTACAACGAGTTTCTGGTGAGACCGACCAACGAATCTCTTCTTCATGCACTATCATTCGAAATGAAGGTCCCCCTCTCAACCATATTTGTTGGATTCGAGTGAACATTTATCTCGGTTTGTGAAATCTTGAACGGTTTCCCTCTGGCGAACCAGATTGTAATGCTCAAAAAACTTACATAAGCGTGCCATCTGAAGGAATGGATGATGAATATTGCCAAATTGATCAGCCGGGGCAAGGAGGGGATTGAGAAGAGATCAACAGTTTGACCTACCTTTAGTCAAGCCACAAATATGACCATCAACGATAAGGCTTAACGTTGTTGAAATGCCCACTCCTGTTGGGAAAATTGCATATGAATGGGCTAATTAACAGTTTCAGTTCTAGATTGGCTTTCCTGCCATGTGTAACTGGCTACGAGAAGCAATAATGATTGAAGAACATACACTCACTCATAATTAATGAAGAAGCGAATGAATAATTTAGAAGAGCAACTCAGAGCCAACCTGGTTGGTAGTTCCACTTCCTCAATAAGCAAATCATAGGCCAGGTGGAGTACAATATCGTGTTCCTGCAGCACAAGCTCAGACAATGCTAATGGCGGTAGCGCTGTGGCCAGGCCTACGATACCGATGACTCTGGGAGAGGGGGCTGAGCCGAGGAGTTTGTCCGACTTGGTTGTTCGTGACGCCGGATTCGAGCCCGGTCGGATCAAGGGAAACCCGGTCGGCCTATCAACAGGCAGGTCTGGTGAGGTGAACCGGGCACGTAATTGCAGGTGGATGGACTGAGACCAGAGAAGAAGGGTTAACTTGGTTGATAATACAAGACAAGTAAGTCCAGATGTCGAACACTGTAGACTTTGGGGGAAGGTTGATGATCTTACAATGAAAGTATTTTGCATGGATATAAACTGATTTATCCCTGTTTGCTATGATAAAGTTTATATTTTTGAAGATATGAAGACCAAGATGGTGTGGTCTCTGGTGTGGTCGCAGTCCCCTTTAGATTTATAGAAGTGGGTTGACCTCGTTGTCGCTACTTGGTCTTGTTGTCAGGGCGACTATGTAGAAGGCACCTAGTCCGAAATCGTCTGCCATAGTAGTTGTCATGATTCCCAGCATCCGACAGTGGACTTGGTACATTCTCAAACGTTTAGCCGGCATCGTAGTCAGCATCATCAGTGAATTTTTTCCATTCTCCGCACCAAGCTACGAACTCCAAGTTAGTAGTCCTTAGTAGAACGCACTTAGTCCAAAGTCCTCTGCTTTAATAGTACTCATAAAGCATAGCAGCAGAAAGTGAACTTGGAATAGATAGAT